TTTCTGCCCTGGGTGAAATGGCCCCAGTTCCTTCAGCCCACAGTTTGGAGAATTTCTGTGCTCTGTGGTGCCAAAATGGACATTGTCAAGGATCTCATCTCCGCTTGACTTTCTCCCTTTTTTTATACTGGGAGCCTCTAGGGAGCTGCAAGCATTGCTCTAGAAAAGACAGTACAAACCAGGCTAATTGGCAGCCCTTCAATACCTGTTGTCTGGTCAGTTTCCCTTAAGATGAAAGAAAAAAGGAGAGGAAAAGGAGGATTATTTTGTGCATTAGCGTTCCACCATGTTAGTAAATTTCCTGCTAAAATGTTACTTGCTGTGTCATAGACAGGATTTTTTTTTTCTCTTCAATTTTTCATATAAACTAGAATAGCATTGGTTCTTTTTCTGGTGTTTGTTTCCTAAACTGGACCAAAATAGGTCAAGTGTATAACATAACCCCCATGAAGATTACTAGAACTTCCAAATTCTGTAATAAATTAGTTGGAGAAAAAAACACTTAAATTTCAGGACAATGAAAGAGTCTAAGAGTTTTAGGATGAAAGGCTACCTCCGAAGCTAGGTTGAAATGCGGTTAATGGCCACTCTGATGTGATATTAGCAGTTTCTTCTTAATGACCCAGTTCACTTTTTAAATGATAGAAAAGATGAAGTGAACTGTTAACAACCCAGTCACTGAGGTAAATTGTACAGGGAAGATAAAGAGCAGAGTTCTAGCTCAGCCGTCTGCAGTTTACCATGTAGTCATGTCTAAGTCACAAATTGTCCGCCTTAGTTTCCCTATGTACCAAATAAACATGAGTCACCTGAGATTCCTTCGAACTCGGGCCATGAGCAGTGGAGCTGGACCTTATTCCCCAGGGCCACATATGCATAGGATCATGTTCTCCTCTCAGGCTGTAGCCTGTGTGTGTGTGTGTGTGTGTGTGTGTGTGTGTGTGTGTGTGTTGATGTTGTTGCTTTTGTTTGTTTTAATTTTTTTTTGAGAGAGACAGAACGTGAGTTGGGGGAGGGGCAGCGAGTGAGGGAGACACAGAATCTGAAACAGGCTCCAGGCTCTGAGCTGTCAGCATAGAGACCCATGCGAGGCTTGAACTCAGGAACCGTGAGATCATGACATGAACTGAGCTGAAGTCAGCCGCTTAACCAACTGAACCACCCAGGTGCCCCATGTTGTTTCTTTTGTTTTAAGGCAGCAGGTATATAACTAGGATGCAGGTTATGTATCATTCCCAGCTCTAATCCTACCTCCCCCCCTTTCCCCAGCAATCAATCATTACTTTTACATTAAGAGCCACATGTGCAGTTCTGGAGAACTGCACAGTTGTGGGTGGTGTGCCTCCCAGAAGATTTTTTTTTTAATGCATCAATTTTTTTAAACATTAATTTATTTCTGTTTACAAACTGAGGGTCTAATGATATATTCCGATAATTGCGTTCTTTGTTCCAAATCTGCTTTAATTGGTTCTACCAAAATGAAAAAAACAAAACAAAACAAAAGAAAACCACCCTCCTGCAAACCTGCTCTTCCAAGGAAGTCTTCAGAAGACAGAGCGCCCTTGCTTTCTGAACATCCTGATCACTCTAAAAGGCCGGATCCCCTGTGTGTCCTGTCCTGTGAATTGAAAAGGAAAGCTGTTTAGTTTCCCCAAAGAAAGAGAAATGACTGCTCAAATAACAAAGCCTAATTTATCACCTCAAAGCCCTTCTTAATAGCAGTGAGATCCATGTGGCTGCCAAGCCAGACAACCGCACGTGTGTGTCTGCCGAAAGGACCAATATTCTCCTAGAGCAGTTCTCGTCATCAGTGCTCATAAAAGGAGCGGCTGTGCTCCTGCCTGCCTGGAGCACGGCTGTTAGATCAATTAGTGGCGCGTCAGCCACCCAGACGCTTCCACCTCCTGAAAAGCAGCCTTTTCCCACGCAGCCCACGCTGAACTGGCACCTGGTAGCATCCATACGAATCTCAGGTGCTGATGGTGACAAGCCATCCAGCCAGCCTGTCGGTTGCAGGGCTGTACGCTCGGGCGTCAGCGGTTGGCAAAGTGTGGACCAAAACCAGAGTCAAATGAAAACATCAGAGCCACACAGGAGTTAGCACAACCCATCTGTCCACTTCTGCTCATATGGGACCTGGCGGGAACCTATTAGATAAACAAGCATGGACCCCACAGGGCAAAGACCTTCAGAATATGGAAGTTTAGTGGACAAGGCTTTATATCAAAGTGCAGCCCAGATAGCTATCATCTGGGTCTTCTCTGTCCCTTGAGATCTAAACAGGGATTGCTTCAAACCCCACCGCCTGTGGAAATCTGAATTCTGTGACTTCGCGGAGGCTTCGTGTCTCTGCCTCACTCTCGCTTCTTGCTTCCATGTCTGGTATCTTAGCCATGCAACTTGTCAGGTTGCTTATAAAGAAGCAGCGTGAGCCTACTGGACCTCACAAAACGTTGGCGTCATTGAGGAGAATCGCACTTCATGTCCCATCATGGTAGAGTTCACAGTCCACCTGACACTTTTGTGTTCTCTTAAGCCTTGTCACACAAGGTGTGGTTCAAGGCACCAGCAACACCATATACCCTGAGAGCTTGTCAGAAATGCAGGATCTTGGGGCGCCTGTGTGGCTCATTCGGTTGAGCATCTGACTTCGGCTCAGGTTGTGATCTGATGGTTTGTGGGTTCAAGCTGACCACCTAAGGCCTGGAGCCTGCTTTAGAGTCTGTGTTTCCCTTCTCTCTGCCCTTCCCCTGCTCACACTCTCTCTTTCTCTCAAAAATAAACAAACACTAAAATGTAAAAAAAAAAAAAAAAAAAAAAAAAGAAATGCAGAATCTTTCTCTATTCTTTTAAAGTTTATTTATCTTGAGAGAGAGAGACAGAGCATGTAAACAGGGGAGGGGCAGAGAGAGAGGGAGAGAAAGAGAATCCCAAGCAGGCTCTGCACTGTCAGCACAAAGCCCGATGCAGGGCTTGCAGTCACAAACCAGGAGATCATGACCTGAGCTGAAACCAAGAATCAGACGCTCAACCAACTGAGCCATCCTGGTGCCCTTGGAATTCAGAATCTTGAGCCCCACTCCAGGCTTGCTAAATCAGAACCTAAATATTAACAAGATCTCAGGAGACTCTGTTGGTTAAAGTGTGAGGAGCACAGAGGTAAAGTCCTCCTCCATCATCTCACCATGGAGGACTCTTTTGGGCTTGGCCTTTGCACCACTATGTGCCCAGACTTCCATCTTCTCCTCCCCCTCCTTTCTCTCTCTCTCTCTCTCTCTCTCTGTCTCTTTGGTTCTTTCATCTCCTCCCTCCTGTTGGGAGCTTCAAACAGATTTTTTTTTTTTTTTTTGTCACCACAGACCAGCCCTCCCCTGGGGCCTCAGGGCCAGTCACCACCTAGGTCCTGGAGGTCTCACCTGCTGCCAGCCCTCAGTTCTGTTCTGAAGCTGATTAAAATATTTGTCTAAACAAGGTCCTCCGTCCCCAAGAGGGACTCTGATACCAGCTATAACAATAAAAGAAATCTATCTTGTTACAAAAGATATCCCAGGTTTTATAAAGACATCTGGCTTCTAAACAGACCCCTAAATCAAGTCCAGGTTATAAACTATCACACAAGGGTTAGACCTGGGATAACTGAGTCTTGGGAACAGAAGAGTGACTGGCTCAATGTAGTTACTGGCAGGGGAGGACTAGAAAATTTCGTTTACTTCCCAGCACAGCCTTCTCTCCGCTACACCGACCGAATCATTCATTCGACTTGAACCTGAACCTTTATGTGGCCACCTCATTCTCTTCCTGAGCAGTAACTGAGTCACCTGGGCAGCAAATCTGCATTGAGTGCCTACTGGGTATAGCAAGCACTGTTCAAAGATGAGAAGAAGCAAAGCAGACCCAGGTTTTCCACACTACTGGCCTTCACCCAAACTGCTCCCTCCCAGCGAAGTCCTCATTCCCACCTGATCTCCCCAGCAGACTTCTCCACATCTTTGAGAAGCAGCAGCTGGGAGCTTCCAGACTCCTCCAGACAAAACTAATCACTACTTCCTCTGTGCAAGCACACTAGTATAGCACTTCTTCCATTATTTGTTAGGTCTTTTGTTTCCTAGCTGTCCCTTCTGAATCGAAGTTTCCTCTAGGGAGGCTTGAACCCCATGGTCCTCGGTCCCCAGTACAGAAGATGCTCAATAAATGTTAGCTGTCTCCCCCTTTCTTTCCCTTGGAAATTCCTACCAATTGATGCTCTTGGTCACACAAACCTTGTCCTTAACTCAGCTCCTTCATCCTCAAGCACCTTGCGCCTTTCTGGATCTGGGCTGTCGCTGACCCATCCTCCTCCCGTTGCTGCTCATTTCTCGACCCAGCCCTCTTCGATTCCGTTGCTATCCACAGGGGCCAGCCTCGCCACCACGGCTTGTGTATGACTTTTTGAAAATCCTCCTGCCTCCTGGACTCCGTCTGCAAAATGAGTGGGCAGCTCCTTTGCTGGAGGTCTGGGTAGCCATGTGGCAACTCACAGGTGTATTATAATCAGTTGTGAGGTGCTTTGTAAGTAATCATTTCATATAATCATAAGCTTTGCCAAATGGTCTTTTTTACTAACTAGAGAAGATTAAAGGCTATCCCTGTGACTGGCCCTCCCAGCGGCATTCCGGTGTGCTCTCCAGAATAGGAGAAAAAGGCATGGAGTTACAGGGAGGGACCCCACACAAGCTTGGGTGCACACACCTTAGGATTGTCATATCTCACAAGCATAGTTTTCCATCATGTGTGCCCCTGCTGGGCAAAGGCTGATCTGTGAGACTCTTCTCTGTTCCGTCATCTGTTGAACTCTAAGGTCTGGAGAAAAGACTGAAAATTGTGACATCGTGGTAATCATGAATTGCCAAATCCTTCCTGTGATGTGATAGCTCCTCATAAAATTTAAATCTCATTCAGGAATATTTGAATGGGTAACACTCTTCTAATTTTTTCCTCTTTCCCCTTGGCTTTGCTTCCAGGAAGCGAGAGGAAGAAAACAAACGAAGAGAGGCAGAACAACAGAAGGGAAGGCTGAGCCCAGATTCCTCCAGAGCCCAAGCCCCTCCCTGTGTGCCCAACACCCAGGCTGAGCCCCACAGGCAGAGCTGGGCCCGCAGCAAACAGCCTCCCACGGGTGGCGCAGCCCAGGACCCTGAGGGGAGAGCCCCCCAGAGGGAGGCTGGGAACAGCCCCCCAGATGTGCAGGGAACAGACCCCAGAAAGCCAAATGGTAGGTGTCTTTGTTACCTGATGCCACCCCGTGGACTGTGGGCTCTCTTGAATGGTGTATGTATTCCATTTACATTTAAGGTAATTATGGCAGCAGTGAAGACTGCAATTTTATTATTTATTTTCCATTTATTTCCTCTGGTCCTCTTTCCTGTGTTTCTTTTTTTCTCTTCCTGTGGACTACTTGAACATCTATTAGGATTCTATCTTGATTAATTTTAGTGTTTTTGAGTGTATTTCTTTCTACAGTTTTTGTGGTGGTTGCTCTGAGTATTACCATCTACTTATATGTATAATATACATATAAGTTATAAGGGACTTATAACTAGTATCAACATTTTACCACTTCTTTAAAGTTTATTTATTTATTTATTTATTTTGAGAGAGAGAGAGAGAGAGCGCGCTCCCATGTGTGTGCAAGTGGGGAAGGAGCAGAGAGAGAGGGAGAGAGAGAATCCCAGGCAGTGTGGAGCCCAATGCAGGACTCCAACCCACAAACCACAAGATCATGACCTGAGCTAGCAACAAATTCTTTGAGTTTTCCTTTGTCGGAGGATGTTTTTATTTTGTTCCTGACGAGTTGGCAAACCAGATCCAGAATGTTCAGCTGGCAAGTCTTTCCTTCTCACACTTGAAAGAGGCCGTGCCCCTTCTGGTTTTCGTGGTTTCAGATGAGAAATCCACTGTCGTTCAAATGGCTTTTTCCTCAGTAACATTTCTAAGTAACATGTCACTGCTCTCTGGCTGCTTTCAAGATTTTTCTTTATCTTTAGTTTTTAATAGTTTATTTTTTTTATTTTTTTATGTCTTTATTTTATTTTGAGAGACAGAGAAAGAGACCGAGCGGGGGAGGGGCAGAGAGAAGGCGACATAGAATCTGAAGCTGGCTCCAGGCTCTGAGCTGTCAGCCCAGAGCCTGACGCAGGGCTTGAACCCACAGACTAGGAGATCATGACCTGAGCCAAAGTCGGATGCTTAACCAACTGAGCCACCCAGGCACCCCTAGTTTTCAGCACTTTAATGTGATGTGTCTTGGCATGGATTTTGGGGAGTTTATCCTGTTTAGACTTTATTTAGTATGTTGGGCATCCCCAAGACACCCCCCCGCCCCCACCCAGTTTAGTAATTTGCTAAGAGCACTCACAAGACTCAGCATATATTTGTACTCACAGGTGGGATCTATCATAACAAAGGGATACAAATCAAGTTCAACAAAGGGAAAATGCACACGAAGCAAAGTCTGGAAGAAACCAGGTGCAAACTTCCAAGAGTCTTCTCCCAGTGGAATCACACAGAAGACATGCTTAATTCCTCCAGCAATGAATTGTGACAACCAGTTAACCTTTTGTCTACCAGAAAAGCACACCTAAACTTAGTACTGCAGGATTTTTATTGGGGTCAGTGACATAGGTACCATACCTCTGCCTAGCATATACTATGACTCCAGCTTCCCAGAAGGAAAACAGGTATTCAATTTAAGCATATTGAGCCATTCTTATAAATTAGGGAATGGCAAGAACCATCCAGGAATCTAAGTGCAAATGCCAACATAGAGAAAAGGCAAATAATGTCTTAGGATTATTATAAACATAGTTCTGACATTGTGGACCCCAGAAACAAGTCTATTAGATCTCATGGTGACCCCATTCAGGGCGTGGACAATTCATTCTATCTCTCTGAACCTTAATTTCCTTAGCCATAAAATGGGGAGGTATACTCAAAAAACAAATGAACAAACAAAAAAAGCAGAAATAGACCCATAAATACAGAGAACAAACCGATAGTTGCCAGAGAGGAGGGGAGCGGGGCAATGAGCAAAATGGGTGAAGGGGAGTGGAAGGTACAGGTTTCCAGTTATGGAATGAATAAGTCATGGAGAAGAAAAGTACAACATAAGGAATAGAGTCAATGATGTTGTCATAGTGCCGTATGGTGACAGATGGTAGCTATATTTGCAGTGAGCAGAGCATAACAGAAATACTGTGTTGTACACCTGAAACTAATGTAACACTGTGTATCAACTATACTTCAGTTTTGAAAAAGAAAAAAATGAGGGCACACTCTCTACCCTGCAAGCGAGTTATAAATAGAAATAAAATAATTAATGTAGAAAATGTATCATAGCCCACAACTCATTGTAGGTCTTCAGTAACTACTATTATTAAACCACACTGATGATCTAGCCAAGAACAACTACATAAAAGCACACATGAATTATCATAAACATATCCAGAATCTAATTCCATAACCCACTTTGCAGTGATAATGCATCAGCAATGTATACCTTAAGGAGATCTGATGCCTTGGTTTATATTCATTCATTTATTCATTCAGCTAGTGTTAACTAGATTCCCGTGATGTAACAACCATGCTGCATTTGAGTAAATGCTTTCTTAGCTTGAGGTCATTGCATTTTACATTCCCTCCACCCATATGGATGAAAAGTCCCTCTTATTTTTCAGATCTCAGGATGAATGTTCCTCCCTCTATACAGCCATACCTCCCCACTGAACAAGCCTTCATCTTCCTGATATATTACCCCTTAGGCATTCTGCACCTCTGTATTAGAAAGATAATCACCTTTTATTGTTATTACTGGATTATTTGTCTATTTTTTCCTATAGATTATAATATCTATAAGATCAGGGTTGTTTCATTTTTCTGCTGCTATGTAAAACAAAACAAAACCAAAAAAAAAAAAAACTACACTAAAACTAAGTGGCTTAGAACCACAATTTATTATTTCTCATGATTCTGTGGGTTGGTTCCTCCACAGTTTCACCTGGTGTCACTAATGTGACACCATAGAGGTGGAGAGTCCGCTGAATTAGGTGGTTTAAGGTAGACTGACTTGAATGCCTGGCAGTTGATGCTGGCTGTCAGCTGGGATTCCTTGACTCTGCTTTACATGGTCTTTCATCCTCCATTAGGCTAGACTGGCCTCCTCACCCAGTGATCTCAGGGTGTCATTCTAGAAAAGCAAAGGCAGAAGCTACAAGACCTCTTGAGGAACAGGCTCTAGAATGTGCATCCTGCATTCTGTTGATCAAAGTGAGTTTTATGACTAGCCGGACACTGAGTGTGGTTTAGAAATATACTCCACTTTTGTGCCTACTGGGTTGGAAGCAGTTTTGACTATTAAACAACCTAGCACAAGTCCTTTTTGGCCACAGATTATTCACATCCCTCCCACAGGCATAATATTCTCACTGTTGTCTCAGGACCCAAAAATGTCATTTCAGTTATCACATCAAGCTTGAAGTTTGGGATCTTGAGATGTATGTCATGGCCAGACGTTGTCAAGTTTCCCCAGGTGTGAATCATTCCAGTTCAGGGACTAGCCAACCAAAAACACACATTATCAACCCCCAAATACACCCAATAAGCAACAGTGAGACAGGGACAAAATAACCATGGTAGACACCCTTGCTGCAAAAGGGGAGAAATAAGAGGCATATAGCAGTCACTAGTCCATAGCAATTCTGAAAGCCAGCTGGTTACACATTAGTAGGTCCCCTACTCTGAAGTATGAAGTAAATGTTCCTTGATTAGGTTATGGTTTTACCCTATGTGTGGTTTCCTGTTCCATTATTCTCCTTGTCTCTTGGCTCTTCCACCTGGGCTCTGTGTTCTGCTCTCTGAGACCTCTTCCTTTCCATAAGACACAGCCCACATTTGCAGTTAAATAGCTTTCTCAGCCTGTTTCTGGCCTACGAGAAGTTGAGGTTCCAGAGGCTCCCCTTTGTTTTGAACTGACTCAGCAGTTCAAGCTGGTGCTACTCTTTGTGATGCAATTACCTCAGAATTTCCTATGAATCTGATTGGGTTCACTCCATGTTCTAACACTACATCCGGGGCACCTGGGTGGCTTAGTCGGTTAAGTGTACGACTCTTGGTTTCAGCCCAGGTCATAATCTCCCAGTTCATGAGTTCAAGCCCCAGGTAGGGCCCCCCATGCTGACAGTGTGGAGCCTGCTTCAGATTCTCTCTGTGTCTCTCCCTTTCTCTCTGCTACTCCCTCACTCATGCATTTTAAATCAATCAATCAATCAAAAAAAATTTTTAATTAAAAAAAACCCTACATCCATAATTATTTCCCAGACAGGCCTCTCTCTACTTTGGGTGGCTCAGGCTGCTATGGGAAAATGCCCTTAAAGTTCTTAGAAGTTCTTTTGTTTAGCTTAGAGTGCCTACAGTGTACCGTCTTAGATATTTTTGAGGTCTTAATACAGGGTTGCACAGTAATACTCTTGATTTGATCTTTATCCACAAGTCGTATTTTACTATGAGATTCTTTCACTGGCTAGAAAGAATGAAAATGTGAAACAATTTTTTTTCTAATCCCCCACATTTTAGGCTCCTTATCTTTCCTCTAGATTCTGCTTGCACAGTGAGCAGTTCTTTCCTAATTTTCTTTCTTTCTCCCCACACCTTATCATATGCAGCTAAAAAAAGCCAGTTGATATTTTCTTTGATGATTGCACCTGGAAATATCCTAAACCATGTTTACAAATTCATTAGGTATGTTGTCTGTCTTCTAAGTTACTGTAGGCAACTGTTGCCAATTTTGCCCTTTATTCTGCCACTGAATAATACAATTGACCATTCTCCAGACTCCAATAGCGATTTCTTTTCTGTTCTTTCAGCCTTCGCTGATAGTCTCTTTACTGCCTTTCCAGCTTCTGTTCACTAACTGGTCCCTAAGTCCATGCTACGTTCTTATTTGGCTGTTGGTTTCTGTGACATAACAAGCTACCGCAAAAACTGAGTGACTTAGAACAACGATTTATTGTCACAATTCTGTGGGTTGTCTGCGCAGTTCCTCTTCTGGACCACTAGGGCTCACTATGTGGCTGGTGGAAGGTTGGTTGGGCCTGAAAGTCCAAGATGGCGTCCTTCACATGTGTGGCAGTTGGTGCTGGCTGTTGGCTAAGGTGTCTCAGTTCCTTCCCACGTGACCTTTCAGCCTCCAGGAGGTTAGACCATCTTCCTTGAATATCA